GGGCGCCTTCCCGGGAGGGGTGCGCGGCGGCAACGCTGAGGGTTGGGGAACGGCTCGAAGGCACCTCACCTCCCCAGGCGGGATTCGGACTTTTAGTGCAAGGAAGGCCAACAGTTTTCCGAGTGTCCCTCTTTCCCCAGGCGTGCAAGAACTTTGGGGAACATCACGCACGCCCTTGTTGCGGGCTCCAGAGCCTACTTCTGAAGTGGGCTCCGCAGCCTTTTCTTAATCGCTTGCTGCTTCTCCTCCCCACACACCTTGGATGTGCCAAGGGTAGCCAAGGGCACTGGGTGTGAGGGACTGATGCGTTTTGGAAAACCCTGGTGTAACTCGTTTTGGAAACCTGCCCATGGAGGTCTGGGCATTTTGTTCTGTGCTCTCCTTTAAAGGGCACTTGTTGCCTTTCACGTGCAGAAAACAAGGGCTGTCTCTAGATAACCAGCCTCTGTTTGCACCATCCTAATGGTTTCCCCTGATAGAGTTGGGGTTGGGAGGCATTTTAAAATCAGGCTTGTCACTAAGAAGTTGCTAATTTCCTACCCAGAGAGCAAAATCACAGAAAACCTGTAAGAACTTCCAAGTTTTTTCTCCACTTGCAGTTGTTTATGGTTTTTCCCCCTCCCATCCCTTCTGTTTTAAGTGTTAGCTAATTGAGAAACACCTTGGCAATCATTTCATGTAAATTACCTGCTCTATACCCATGCCATTTTGGCAAGGTTAGAATTTCCAAATTACTTATTACAGGTGAACTTTGATCCTGAGAGTCTGATATGTTAAATTGTTAAAATGTAAATATAAGGATTCGATCCTCTTCCTTTAATAATAGCTTTTGCACTCCAGCAAACTCTTATACCCCAAAAAGGAAGAATGCTGAATCTATAGACCATGTCCTTCACGTCTGAACCTGAGTTGCTTCACTAGAGCTGTGACTGATCGTGCCTGATGATTCAAAGCATAGTTTGACTCAGATCCACAGAAATGAGCTACAGACCCGTCCTTGGAAGAACATGCCCATGAGAGGGTTCTTTCAGTTGGTTTTGCGTTTTTCACCCAATGATACTGTGATATCCACATGGCTTTGCCGTACTTAGCTTAGCTTTGCAGATTAATTTGTGTGGAGAGCTGGCAGAACTATCATCAGAAATGATTTTTGTGGTGGTATCCTTGTTGGAGGAGGAAGGAAGGTGATTTTAATGGTAGCTGGCTCACACCATGATAAGAACCCACAGCCTTGGCCTTCTTAGCTCCTGCTGTAAACAGCTAACCAAGCAAACCAGCCTGCTAATGTTCAAAGCACCAGTGGGACCTTTGATGAGTGGCATAACACCCATGATAGCTAGGTCAGTTCATGACATCCTCCTGGCTGACTCTAATGGGCAAAGAGCCATTGCATTTCTGGAAAAGGCCTTCCCTCTCTCTCTCATTTTTTAAGAAAACTATTTCTGAAGGCTCCATTCCAATTAGAAGATGGGGAGGCTTTAGTCACTAAACAGCACGAGACTCCTTTCCCCCATCTCTGTGATCTGAAGAGGAAGGTGACAGTAAGCTATGTTTTGGAGTCATGGTCTCCACTTTGTAATGGAAATGGTGGCATTTTGTAGGTCTATCAATATTTGGCCAGATACTCACTCCAGACCAGAGGAAGCAGAGAAAAAGCTGCAAACTACTTACAATTAAGCCTAGGCAGAACTGACAGACACATGGCATGCCCCTAGCTTTGAAAAATTAATATTTTTATCATTGAATCAGAGTGGGTCAAGGCCTGAAAGCAAAGTGAGGTGTTATAATGGTCTTGCCACTTCTTGGTTATGAAAGATTGGCCTAGTCACTTAACTTCTTCAACACCCAGTTTCCTCTTGAGTAAAATGGGAATATCACTTCTTTCTACTTAGTGTTGTAAAGCTCAGATCAGATAACACATACATATGTAGTAAGTTATTATATGTAAAATGCTATTATTATCATTTCAGGTTCCTGGAGGAAATTTCTGGGGAAGGCAGAAGTGCACAAGGCTTGCATTTCGTATTTACCTTATACCTTCTATACAACTTGCATAGTTCTTATTTTGTCCATATATCGACTAAACCTAAGCTTTACTGATTTCCCAAGATAACTGTCAAAATTCCTAAAAGTTGTTCATACCAACCTGGAATAGACTCAGAAAAAGGATACAATTTTTAAAAATTAAATTATGACCTGGGTGTACACACCATAGACAGACACAAACCGTTGCATAAACAAGGTGATGGTCAAGTTAGGCTGGCCAGTTAGCTCAGCTGGTTAGAGCACAGTCCCAGGTCCCAACACCTAGGTCAAGGGTTTGGATTCCCATACCAGGCCAGCCAACAAATAAATAAATAAAGATTCATAAAAGCCCACAGAAAAGGAAATATACAAAATATTGAAATGGGAAAATCTGTTTTTATTTACCTTTGATTATTCTGTTGCCACCAACCTCCCTTGTTTTTCCAATGTGTTTTCCTTAAGGATTCAAGGAGAAACCTAGACTTTCTGGACAAGAGAGACCACTTGCTCTCTGCAAGTGACTAAAAAAAACCCATATGCCAGATGGTCTTTTGAAAATGTCTAACCACCCTCCCAAGTCTATTGCTTCATTTAAACTCTGGAGACTTCTTCGGGCCAGCCCGTGGCTCACTCGGGAGAGTGTGGTGCTGATAACACCAAGGCCACAGGTTCGGATCCCTATATAGGGATGGCCGGTTTGCTCACTTGGGAGAGCGTGGTGCTGACAACACCAAGTCAAGGGTTAAGATCCCCTTCCTGGTCATCTTTAAAAATAAATAAATAAACTCTGGAGACTTCTTAAAACATTTTAGGTATAAATAAGGCACAAGAATGAGACAGGATTGTCCGGTGGTTAAGAGCTTCGGCTCAGAGTTGGACTGACCTGCTCTAGAATCGCAGCACTGCCACCCACCACCTGTGGCCTTGACGAGCTCCTTCACCCTCCTGAGCCTCCATTTCCCTATCTTCATAACGGAACTATGTATCTACCTCACAGGACCGTCGTATGGATTGCAGGGCATCACACATATAAAGCATTCAGCACAGTGACTGGCACATAATAAATGAAGCTATATAAGATGTTTAAAAAATAGCGTGGAGACAGATATCCCATGGAAAATCAAATAGTATCACTAGACTGGGAAAGTCCATTCCTCCCATTTCACTTATTGGCAGATATCATGATGATAATTTCTGAGGAATGGAAAACCAGAGAGCTCCTGTTGGAAGATGTAGGTTTTAGGAGGTGACCAGTTAACTCAGTTGGTTAGAGCACGGTGTTGTAACACCAATGTCAAGGGATCGGATCACTGTACTGGCAAATTGCCAAAAAAAAAAAAAAAAAGAAAGAAAGAAAAACTAAAGATAAGAGTAGAAATAAATACAATTTTTTAAAGATGTCGACTTTACACATCAGTCATCAAGATTTTCAAAATAAATATTTTGTCTTTATCAATTATATCATTTGTTATTGAAACTAAGATTGTTAAATGTATTGATGGTGATAACCAGAGTTTCAATTTTAAATTAACACTTTGTAACACTTTAGATGGCAACCTGTGCCACACTCAATGCCTATGTTCATTATTCACCATGTGCAAAACAGCACACATTTTGGAATACTGAATTTTTAATTACAGAATTTGGTAACTTTATTTTATGCTTCAATACTACACAATGTTCTCGGCACGTAATGCCTTTTCTCTTTCATTAATAAGTAAAATGTTGTATCTCAATACTTGAAGATATATGTAATTTAGGTCTCATCAGCCTGTGTGGAAAGAAGAAAAGTAACTACCACTTGAAGGGAAAACTGACATATGCTCATACATATATGCTCCAGATAGAAATTTAGCTATGGATAGAGCTGAGACAGAGGTAGAGACAGAGACGAGGTAGAGACAGAGGTACATAGAAACGTATCTTGCCCTGTTAGAGCTTTGGTCTTTTCTGGTTTTGCTCTGCCGTGGGGTAATCTGACATAGATATATCTTATCTAATTACCGAATATATCTTGCATTTTAATTGAAGCAGTGAATAATCATCGACTACAATCTTTCTGGCAGCTGGATTTTGTAACAAAAATTATTTTTCCCCTTTTATTTTTCCAGGTGGAAAAAAAAAAGTGAGGGTGTAAAAGCAACACAGTAAAAGACATTTCCTCAAATGTGCATCAAGATGGAAACCTTTTGCCTCAGGGCATCCTTTTGGCTGGCCCTGGTTGGATATGTAATCAGCGATAATCCTGAAGGATACAGCACAAATCTCAGCAATCATGTGGACGATTTCACCACTTTTCCTGGCACAGAGCTCAATTTCCTGGTTACCACTCACCGACCCACTAATTTGGTCCTACCCAGCAATGGTTCAACGCACAGCTATTGCCCACAGCAGACTAAAATTACTTCAGCTTTCAAATACATTAACACTGTGATATCTTGTACTATTTTCATCGTGGGAATGGTGGGGAATGCAACCCTGCTCAGGATCATTTACCAGAACAAGTGTATGAGGAATGGCCCCAACGCACTGATAGCCAGCCTTGCCCTTGGAGACCTTATCTATGTGGTCATTGATCTCCCTATCAATGTATTTAAGGTAGGAAGTAACCACACATGTATTTGAACACATGCTAAGATTCCATATTGAGAGTCACAGCAGACTTTTCTGAACTTCGAAATTTTATATGTGTTTTTATTGAGGGCTATTTTGGCTATTTTAAAACTCAGTGGCATTTTAAATTTTATTATTTGTTATATATTACAATTGTTTTCTAACTTGATTATTAACAAAATAATACTCTGGGGATGTACACTTCAAAAATATGGTGTTGCGTGAATTGGATTCTCATGCTAGCCCTGAGCTTTCTGGTTAGATAGTCAGTCTTGGGAAAATCACTGGATTTTTCTGAGATTCAGTTTCCAGAGTGAGACCTACTGATCCCAAAAAACTACTTAAAATAAATAGATCCTCAGTTTCAGTTACCTTTTTAATGTGGTGCTGTTCAGGAGCCTGATATCCATAGTATGGCTTCAAATGAAAAGTGCCTATTTTATTTTGTCTGTCTGGATTAACTGAAGCCAAAGGGCGTTCTGGCATCTAGTCAACTGGGTGACTTAGAGACAATGGGGTCCATGTGACAGCACATCTGTATTGGCCTTCGTGAGCAGTATTACTAACTAACACCATTTAAAATTTAAAATAGGCCTTGGTTTACTGTTGTCTCCTTCTTTTCTTGGTTTGCAGTTATTGAGTGCCTGCTGTGTGCCTGTCCCTAAATAGGCAATAAGGATGCAAAGACGAATAAGACAAAGTCAGTGCCCCAGTGGGAGAGGAAGATAACCATCACTGTGATCCCCTTGCTTTCGAGACTATTTAGTACCAGAACAAACTAAAGCCAAAAGGATACTCCATATTTGGTCTAGTGGCTTGGGGGGTGGGGGGGAATTGCTGCCAGAATTCAAATGTACTGAGATTCAAATGAAATTGAGTGATCTATGCCAGGTTTTATGGAATGTCTTTATTCTAAGCCCAGGGCAAGCACTTTCCTCAGCATTTTTTCCCTTTCTATGTATTATCCATAGGAAAAAACTATTCTAAGTGATGATATTCTGCAATATTACTTTAAATGACAGGTTTCGTTCATTGAGGATATGATACATTTTACGTAGAACAGTAGTGTCTCAGTTTCCAACAGATACGCTTAAACTGTGGTGAAATTATATTAGCCTACCTGAAAAATCAGGGATCTAACAATAAAGATGAAAACAATGATTAAAATATTGAACATTAAAAAAAAACCCTTTCAAAATTACACTGATACAGTGTTTGCAAAATTGGGCAAATTACATGACAAATAATCAAAAAAATATTACCATCTATTTCCACAGAATAGCTTAAAAACATGTGTTTTCTATTTAAACTTAAAATGGGATTGTAGAACAGAACTGAGATGCAAAATTGAAAATGTGTAATTAATTCTAAATGTTTAACATATGCTACGGAACTTTTTTTCTTTTAAAAAGCTCTTAATTTTCTCTTTATGAAATGTTATGTGTACACAACATTTGACTTTCCCATGACATTTCTCCTTAATGATAGATTTGAAAATGTTGACTTGACTCTTTAGCAGTCACAGCGTATAGTATTAAACATTGATTATTCATACTTAACACACCAGTTAACCAACCCATCAGTGTTCAAGAGAATAACTAGCCATCAGTGAATTAATAACTCCCTGCTCTTCACTCTCCAGCACACACTACATAGATCCGACCATGTGCAAAGCAGCTTCTTGGCAAATCAATATTTGTAACTGCTAGGACAAAGACCTGCTTATCTCTTTGAGGTGCCCTGCCAATCACCAGACAAAACTTCATTTCTATTCCATAGCAACATTTTAAGTCGGATTATCTGGGATGTCTCCAAATTTGGTAAAAATCCAAATAAAACTTTGTTTTACATTTGTATAGCAATGGGTAAAAATTAACCCATTCTTATTGAACCATATGATTCTCCCCTTCTGGGAATTCAATACTTTATTTACCTTACTGTAGTTCTAAATAATGTGGACAGTTTGTGGTATTTTTACATCACAGGAGTTCATTTCTGTAATTCCTGTTATTCTAAAACTCATGTAATGAGTCATTTAACCAACACTGATTTCAGAAAGTAAACATTTGGAACTGAAAAAAAAAAAATATTCTTTAGTCATTTCAATCTTCTTTCAGAAGAAAAGAGAAAAGCATGGGAGTGAGCTGAAAAGCCTCACAATATTTAGGGGTGATCTACGTCTTTCTGTCTTCCTCTTCCCTTGGTCAGGAGACCATAACAGGTTGTTCTTCCTCTGACTTCTGTCTGGAATAGTCAAGAGAAATCCATCCAGGCAGTGTGAGTTCCAGGCCCCCCTTCCTTCTCTCCACAGCTGTCTCCTGCCATGAGATTCTGATGCTTTGGAGTCTTCCACATATCAGACCTGTGGATTCCTCTATGTCAAGTTCATGACCTCTGTATTGCAGGGCGAGGTAGCAGCTGTAAATCTCACCTTACCATTATATTTACGTACCTATGAAAATAATGCATACACTTGGAGAACATTCTATTAAAGGGATGCTCGAACCTTCTTTATTTCCCCACTATTAGAAGAATTAGGTTGAAAGAATAGTTGAAAGGATCTGCTATGCTCTTCAAAGAAAGATGAGTTTTCAAATCCCACATACTGTTGTGTTTAACGGTTGCCTTTATACTTAACTTCTAAGGTGTGTCCAGACAGAGAACGTTGCATTGAGTTATATCAGAGTCAGCATAAGTGGAAGGAGATGGGGTGAATATCGTGTCTTGGGGCAAGCTAGAGTTGCTGGTTAGACTAGTAAAGTTACAGGAAAAGGAGAGGGCATAATAAAGTGTTCTTTCTGTTAACATTGTATTCTCTTCTCTCACTTAGAGATTTACTGAGACTGTTTCATATACTGATGTGTTATAAACACAACTGAAATGCAGTGCAGCGAGTATCAAACAGCTGGGCTGTTTCTGGTCTGTCATTAGCTCATGCCGCTAGTGCTGGTTGGCTTTGGATGGTCTGTGGGCATGGGGCGGGAGGTGATTCCACACCTGAATTTCCAGAAATTTCTTAGCTGGGCTTCATATCTTCAGAGTTTCTTCCCGCCCCCACCCCCCGCCCCCATGCAACTTATCCTAGCCTTTGCTTCTACTTAACGAGTGCCACTGCTCCCTCAAAAACACCTGGGAGCTCCCACCTGCACCCACTGCCTCCCATGTTTAGCAGGGAGGGGCCACCACACTCTGGCCATACTTTACTTACTTCTTACCAATTCATGCATGCTCGGCTCTTGTTGGAATGCCATCACTACCCCTAATGATCTTTGTCCTGAAGAACATTCTCAGAGAGCTGGATATAGTCATTGAATTGTGCTGCTGAAACAGCAGTTTCTGGAATTATGTATGTTACATCAAGAAGAAATAAACCAAAAATGAGGAGAAATTTCTCTGGCCCTTGCTTACACACATTCTCTCTCTGTCACATACACACACACACACACACACACACAATCTGGTGACAAAAGAAAATCATTCTGAAAAAATAAAATGTAAAGCAGAAGGAACCAAAGAAAGCAAATGAATGCCAGTTGCCTTCTTGGTTTACAGACGTACAAAGGCTTTGCATATGGTAATGCTGGAGAAAAGCTATTCCTAAGTTTATCAAAGGATAACTCTGTTCAAAAAACAGATAATATCACTAATTGCAAGAGAAGACTAACAAAAACAGGAGGGAGGAAGGGAAAGGAGTTAGCAGACTCTTTTATATACCCAAGATTATAATCTGAACTGGTGCTGGATTCAATTTGTCAAGAAATTACATTCTCTGATATCTTAAATTTTCAAGAAATGCAAATCTTGGCCAAGTAAATTAATCCGTATATAAAATATTTATGTTTTTCAGAATGACAAAACAATTAAAACATTGTGTCTGTGTTTGGGGATGAAAAATAATCCCTAATTACTAAATGGCCAGATAGATTAGAAGTATACATTTAATAACTTTATTTTTTAATAATTCATGAGATTATTTTTATGCCATAGTGTTATATATAGGGAGATTTTGAAAGAGTGGAAACTCTAAAAGTGATTTTGTGCATGGGCTGAGGCCTAGCACTAAGTAGTTTCAGGATAACTGCTCATCCATATGCACACGTAGACATTCCTATAAACCACTGTACCTTACCTCTTAAACAGAAAAAGGAATGCGGGATATGTGTGTGTATGTGCGTGTGTGTGTGTGTGTGTGTGTGTGTGTATATGAGAGAAATAGAATAAAAAGGATTAGAATGGATTAAAATGGTGGCAAGAAGCAAGAAATTGAGTATGGCTTGGCATAAAAACTTCTGGTGTGCATTGCAGGGAGCTGAAATGACTGATGCCACAGGTAACACTACCGGTGAAGTATCCCCATGGAGCATGGAGCATAAAGTGGATCACTCAAAACCGCTTGATAGAACCCTTGTTGATTACTAATTCTGTCCACTCTAAGCAACTACTTTTTATTGAGGACCACAATGAGAAATAAACAAATACAATTTCTGTATGAAATTATCAGGAATATTTTGCAAGGAAAAGTCAAGACTCCCAAAATGTTGCCCTGGCAAAGGATCTGAGCAATGTGGAAACCACAGATGTTTACACAGAGCCAGTTATCTCCATATTTACACAGCCTTTGACGTCTTGTGCAACTGAGACCCATCTTTTGGGGGCCATACAAAAGTTGTTTCTTGACATATCAAATCACCAAGACAATTTGTGTCTCAAAAATAAATTGTCATGATTTATAGACTGGATGCCTAAAATGTAGAACTTCAATAATACTTGTTGTTATGATTTGATTTTATTAGGGCCTTTATTGTTAAAGTTAACTTCCAGTCCTATTTCTCTGAGATCTTCAAATTAAAATGATGGTGATAATGATGATGATTTGTGAAAGGGATTTTTCATTTACAGAAAAGGCAAAAGATATTATCCACGGTCTGCACATTCTATTTCCCAAGTTAATCAAATTACCCACCACAGTCTGTGTGTGATAAGGG